GACGGCTATCAATCTTTTGGTCCTTAAATGAAACTGGTAAACTTTTTTATTTATCACAATTTTCTGGTGGTGAGAGGTGTTGGGTTTGCGCCAGACATAGCGTTTTCCTTGATGGCCAAAAAGCTCAATTTTAGTCTCATCTGACCAGAGTACCTTCTTCCATATGTTTGGGGAGTCTCCCACATGCCTTTTGGTGTTTGCTTAATGGCTTTTTTCTGGCCACCCTTCCGTGAAGCCCAGCCCGGCTTAAAGTGGTCCTATGGACAGATACTCCAATCTCCGCTGTGGAGCTTTGCAGCTCCTTCAGGGTTATCTTTGGTATCTTTGTTGCCTCTCTGATTAATGCCCTCCTTGCCTGGGCCATACGTTTTGGTGGGCGGCCCTCTCTTGGCAGGTTTGTTGTGGTGCCATATTCTTTCCATTTTTTAATAATGGATTTAATGGTGCTCCGTGGGATGTTCAAAGTTTCGGATAGTTTTTTATAACCTAACCCTGATGTGTACTTCTCCACAACTTTGTCCCTGACCTGTTTGGAGAGCTCCTTGGTCTTCATGGTGCCGCTTGCTTGGTGGTGCCCCTTGCTTAGTGGTGTTGCAGACTCTGGGGCCTTTCAGAACAGGTGTGTGTATATATACTGAGATCATGTGACAGATCATATGACACTTAGATTGCACACAGGTGGACTTTATTTAACTAATTATGTGACTTCTGAAGGTAATTGGCTGCATCCGATCTTATTTAGGGGCTTCATAGCAAAGTCGGTGAATACATATGCACGCACCACTTTCCGGTTATTTATTTTTTAGAATTTTTTGAAACACATTTTTTTTTGAATTACACTTCACCAATTTTGACTATTTTGTGTATGTCCATTACATGAAATCCAAATAAAAATCAATTTAAATTACAGGTTGTAATGCAACAAAATAGCATAAACGCCAAGGGGGATGAATACTTTTGCATGGCACTGTAAATGCTTGACTGACAGCGTGAGAGAATTTTGTAACTCCATGCATTTTCCCATCACATCTGGTGCAATAGGCACATCACCACAGTGAAACAGGCACATATTATATTATGGGATAGGGTGTTTTGGGATAGGGGTGAGTCAAAACTATATTAACAGTTTAGTGTTGTTACACTGTCCTGCTTTAAACACCTCTATGGTAGGATGTGGATGGAGTTGTAGGTCAGGGTGCTCTCTTAGAGCGTGACAGTATAACACTTTTCCAATGGTAAACAATCCAAATCTATTTATGTCTGTCACCATGTCAACACCATATTTATGTTTTCATCTTGGTCTTTCCTTAAGTAATAAACATTATCTTGTGTAATGAACATGTAATAAACATTATATTGTGTAATGAACACATAATTAACATTATATTGTATAATGAACACATAATTAACATTATCTTGTGTTATGAACACATAATTAACATTATCTTGTGTAATGAACACGTAATACACATTATATTGTGTAATGAACACGTAATAAACATTATATTGTGTAATGAACATTATCTCCATTATGATTTAGACGCACAGTTGTAGAAAAAAACATCACTCCCTCTTCTCTCAGTTTTACTGTCCTTCCTTCCCACAGCTTTCTTAGTTGTTTGGTTTCTTCTGTTTCTGTGTTCCTGCACCCCACAGTGGGAATACTGTTCCTGCACCCCACAGTGGGAATACTGTTCCTGCACCCCACAGTGGGAATACTGTTCCTGCACCCCACAGTGGGAATACTGTTCCTGCACCCCACAGTGGGAATACTGTTCCTGCACCCCACAGTGGGAATACTGTTCCTGCACCCCACAGTAGGAATACTGTTCCTGCACCCCACAGTGGGAATACTGTTCCTGCACCCCACAGTAGGAATACTGTTCCTGCACCCCACAGTGGGAATACTGTTCCTGCACCCCACAGTGGGAATACTGTTCCTGCACCCCACAGTGGGAATACTGTTCCTGCACCCCACAGTGGGAATACTGTTCCTGCACCCCACAGTGGGAATACTGTTCCTGCACCCCACAGTGTGAATACTGTTCCTGCACCCCACAGTGGGAATACTGTTCCTGCACCTCAGTGTTAATACTGTTCCTGCACCTCACAGTGTGAATACTGTTCCTGCACCCCACAGTGGGAATACTGTTCCTGCACCCCACAGTGGGAATACTGTTCCTGCACCTCAGTGTTAATACTGTTCCTGCACCTCACAGTGTGAATACTGTTCCTGCACCCCACAGTGTGAATACTGTTCCTGCACCCCACAGTGGGAATACTGTTCCTGCACCCCACAGTGGGAATACTGTTCCTGCACCTCACAGTGTGAATACTGTTCCTGCACCTCAGTGTTAATACTGTTCCTGCACCCCACAGTGTGAGTACAGTTCCTGCACCCCACAGTGTGAATACTGTTCCTGCACCCCACAGTGTTAATACTGTTCCTGCACCTCAGTGTTAATACTGTTCCTGCACCCCACAGTGGGAATACTGTTCCTGCACCCCACAGTGTGAATACTGTTCCTGCACCCCACAGTGTTAATACTGTTCCTGCACCTCACAGTGTGAGTACAGTTCCTGCACCTCAGTGTGAATACTGTTCCTAAATTGGGAACCAGCCTCTTTCCGGGGGCTTCTGTGTGTTTAAAGTGGGAAGGATCCTCGTCCTGAATTCTGTTTCCTCTGGTACTCAGAACTCACTGAAGCTATTCTTTCTGGACATGCTCTCCATACATTTAGCACTAGACCCAAATGTTTACTGTGGGATTCATGTTTGAGTAAAGAAGTTGGAAATCTACTCAACCTCGCTTGTTTGTAATTAGTGGTAGCATTCACTCAGCAGTTTTACTATCCATCTTATCTAATCATAGTTGCTCAATGTGAACTTTGAATGTCTGAATGTTAATTGGCCCTGAGACTTGGACTGAGATCAGTGGTATGAAGGAAGGAAGGCTCTCCAGGAAAGATTTGACCCTGGAAATGAAGACTCTCAGATGAGCCAGTACTGCTCAATGTTCTGCTCCAATACATCCACTGCTGGGTAAATATCAGGGTAGATATAAAGGCCATTTGGCATTTGGAGAGGTTCAGAAATACCCCTGAGTTGTATTGAGTTTAACAGAGGTATAGAAAGGTTAATAGAGTCTTTGTGCCCTTGTGTGCACTCCCACCTGTTACTGCACGCATGCAAACTCGTGAACACACACGTGCGTGCACACACGCATGCACGCATGTACGCACACATGTACACATGCACACGCACACACAACCAAGACATTAAAGAATCAACTTCCTGTGTTCAATCCAATGGGGTTCATAATGGTCTGAACTGTCCCTCGCTTTTCTCACTCTTCACTGCAGCGGCTGATTTGTTTTTTAGACGTGGCTTGTTACTGCACACATTCTCAGGATTGTGACACCTGACTGGAAGCTTTTGAAGTGTCTCAGATGTCACACAGCAATCCCTTGCGTCCCCCTCCACACCCCCTCCACACCCCCTCCGCACACCCTCCTCATCCCCTCCACACACCCTCCTCACCCCCTCCACACCCCCTCCTCATCCCTCCTCACCCCCTCCACACCCCCTCCACATCTCCTTCACACCCATCCTCACCCCCTCCTCACCCCCTCCTTAACCCCAGCCTCTACTACCCATCACTGGCCACTCACCACTGAGGTTCTGACGTTCGATTGGGGCTGCACTATATTTTGGAGGACACCCCTATGTTCTTAAACTCCCTCTGGCTAGGAAGGACTGACTGGCAGACAGCTTGCATGTCCTGTCCTCTCTCTGTTCTCTGTCTCTCTTCACAGTCTCATCTGGCTTTTGTTTCTTTGTGAAAGGATTTTCCTTTTTGTTGGTCTTCGTAAACAAGCCTGTCATTGGACTGATCTGACTTTAGTTGGACTTTAACCCACTGTGAAGAGGATACAGCGGTCAAATGGTTAATCGGTCAGATTTCTGGTTGGAGTATAACCACAGAGGGGACTTTCTGTGATTGGGAAGAGAAGCGCTAACTTCTGTGAGTAAAGGGAGGGTGACAGAATATAATCTTGTTATCGGTGGACTCCGACAGAGATAAGAGAAAGGGTTTCAGTTTAACCAGGAGGGAACTTTCTTTGTATGAGAGGTGACCAGAGAAGAGCTACTATAGCTGCTGTGCGTGAAGAACGAGGAAGTGTTGCGTTACTTTTAAGCGGCCAGTGACCGTGGTTGACCGCTCTGCTGTGGAACTCACAATGAGCTCCAGTCTGGTCAACTCTCTGGCCAAGGTGTACGACCCCAAACCTCGTCACGGTCAGAAACCAGCCGGGACGAAGCTGACACCCACTGGATCTGACAAACAACCCTGCACACCGTCCTCAGCCTCTTCCTCCTCCTCTTCTCCGGTCAATGCTGCATGGTGCGTCATGACTGAAAGCCGCATGGAATCTCTAAGCAGCAAGATGGAGCGTCTGCTCAACGTCCAGGAGACTGTCCTCATCCGGCTGGATGACCTGTCCCGGGACATGGGGGGCGTGGGGCGGGAGGTGGCCTCTCTCAGGGCCGGGGGCTGGCGGTCTGGAGGTCTGGGTGGAGTTCAGACCCACGGTGAGACCCAGAACCAGAACCAGGGGGTGACGGTGGAGGGTCAAGCCCAGGAGCTGGCGACTGCCTGCAGGGAGCTCCAGGGGGTGGTGCAGGAGGCCAGCCAGCAGGTGGAGCAGCAGGGGCGGAGGCTGGAGGGGATGGAGGGGCTGATGGTGGGCATACATCAGGTCATCAGCTTCATCGAAGAGGTGGTGAAGAGCTCCCGGCTGGCTAAACTGCTGTTTAATAAGCCTGGTGGCTGTAGGGGGACTAAGGCAAAGCAGGCCAGGAAGGTGAGGGACACACACCATGACAGCCTTTATTTAATAAAGAAAATTAAAAGCTTCAGTTGTAAATCATATTCAACCCACTGGGCACACCCTGGTTGAATCAACGTTGTTTCCAACCTGGAATAGACATTAAATTGTCGTCTGTGCCAAGTGAGTGCTGGCCCCTTTTTTCATTTTTACACTGGAGCCAGTGCTGGGTTGTATTTTATTTGCTACCTTAAATTACTACTCCACACTGCATTACCCACCCCATGCCTTGTCATATTATCTACACAGAAATGGAGAAGACTGTAGTCACTGTAAAACTACCCATGGGTTAGGTATAGGATTATCCTTTGCACTTTGTGGGCTACATTTGAAGTGTCTAGCTAAGGAGTCTAGTCTATTGTGTTAGTGGATAACTCTCTGAATGTGTGACATGACTCCACATGATTCATCAGTCAACCAGCTGGACAGTTAGCCTTGTGGAGGGATCTCAACATAGCCAGCATTACACCCTTTAACTAACCTTTAACCATTCTATGGAAGTCCTATTCAAGGATAGGATAATATTGCCCCACCCTAGAACTAAAGGCAACCGGAGTGCTTGTGGGGATTTTAGATGACTGGTGTCAATCTATCTAGAAGCAGCCACGTATTTTGGGCATAACAAATATCGAACCGCGTACCATGTTATGTGTTTCTGTTTTCTTTGTGCTTATGTGTTCATGCTATGTGTTTACATTGTGCGTTTATCATTGTGTGTCTGTAAGTGTGTGTGTGGCGTGCACGCAAGCGTCTGTCTGTGTGTGTTGAGGTACCAGTATCATGTATTACTGCTGCATTTTCCCCTGCACTGTGGGGGACTCTGGGTCCTGGGGGTTTCCTGGGTCCTGGGGGGTCTCTGGGTCCTGGGGGTCTCTGGGTCCGGGGGTCGATGGGTAAAGCAAATCTATAATGTCAGCTTTATTATCTTGGCTAGGTCCCAAATGGCACCCTATTCCCTATATATATATAATCGATATACAGTATATATGGGCCCTGGTCAAAAGTAGTGCACTATAAAGGGAATAGGGTGCCATTTGGGACGTATCGCTAGTATCGCCTTCTGGGCCTCTAATGTTTAGGCACTCTGGTGGAGAGGGGAGGGAGGTGCGGTATAGATTACATGCTATGTGTGTGTGTGTGTGATCCCACACATGTTACGCACGGACAAACACACACACACACACACACACACACACACACATACACACACACACACACACACACACACACACACACACAGTAGTTGGAGATGACATGAAAGCCCTTCTCTGTCCACCATGACATGACAACCATGCTTCAGTTATGATGGCAATCATAGCAACGGCAACAAACACCTGCATCTGTTAATGTGTAGTGAAACATACAACTCCACCATTGCTATCGGAAATGTGCTACTGTATACTAGCTCTGTTATATAATACATGCATGGAATATGAACTTGTAGCTTTCACAGATCCTTAAATCGTCCTGGCCATACGTGCAAATTGTTGGTAATAGAAGGTACAAACAAATGTGCCAATCTACAGATGTAGGATCTTAATTTGATCACCCTGTTACAGGAGAACATTCCTGCAATGCAGGACATCGGTATCCCATCGGTGTCCCGTACACGGTGTCCCGTACACGGGACGGTTGAGCTAATGTGCGCTAATGTGGTTAGCATGACTGTTGTAAGTAACAGCAAACTTTCCAGGACATAGACATGTCTTATATTGGCAGAAAGCTTAAATTCTTGGTAATCTAACTGCACTGTCCAATTTACAGTAGCTATTACAGAGAGAAAATGCCATGCTATTGTTTGAGGAGAGTGCACAACAACAAAAATCTTATGGCAACTGGTTTGATACATTCACCTCTGAAGGTAAATAATGAACTTACATTCAGTAATCTTGCTCTGATTTGTCATCCTAAGGGTCCCAGAGATAAAATGTAGCATAGTTTTGTTTGATAAAATCCATTTTTATTTTCAAATGTAGGAACTGGGTTCTACAGTTTGAACCCCTGCTGTCTCTGGCTCCACACCCACCCTGCCCGGCCACCTAGATGTGTGAAAATTACTGTATAAGCTAATGATCCATCATGTATGACATTCCTGGGAGTGTGTAAACTTACATTTTGTATTACCATATCATTTTCCTCTATAGTTATGTACTTGAAAATGTATCAATTGACCAATTCGGCACATTTGGGCAGACTTGATACAAAATAGTCCAGTATTGCAATGCTTCACTGGATCAATCTGAAACTTTGCACACACACTGCTGCCATCTAGAGACCAAAATCTAAATTGCACCTACACTGCATTATTATGTTGTGGCCTTTCTCTTACATTTCAAAGATGACCCCCCCAAAAAAAAAAAAAAAAAAAAAAGATTTTGGTTTTGTTTGTATTATCTTTTACCAGATCTAATGTGTTATATTCTCCTACATTAATTTCACATTTCCACAAACTTCAAAGTGTTTCCTTTCAAATGGTATCTAGAATATGCATATCCTTGCTTCAGGTCCTGAGCTACAGGCAGTTAGATTTGGGTATGTCATTTTAGGCAAAAATTTATAAAAAGGGTCCGATCCTTAAGAGGTTAAAGTGTATATGTCTCCTCCTCTCTCCCTGTCAGCTGAAGGACAATGTGATGAGGGATGGAAAAGACAAGGCCAAACTCAGCCTGAAAGGCCAGAAATCCCAGAAGAAGAAGAAGCCTCCACATGCATCAGGTAGCAGAGATAAACACACCACCTTCACCTCAACTTGTAACACAATAAAGCAGTCAAATAAATGTAAGTAAAATAGAGCAGCAGTGCTTCATTGGTAATAGATGTCTAATGAGGGGTACTCTTTGTCCCTCCTCAGACAACGTAGAGGCCCTTCTTCTAGACCAGGTGGAGAAGCTCAACAGGCAGAATGCTGAGCGTTCTCATGGTAACGGGGTGGTTCTGGACATGCTCCGCGCCCCCGTCGTCCAACCAGAGGACCTGGAGGATCTAGAGGGGGAGGAGGAGGAGAAGAGGAGAACCCCTGAGCGGGAGGAAGAGCAGAGGGCCAGGGAGGAAGAGGAGGAAGAGGAGGGGGATATATTTGGTGAATCTGAGCCTGAGGAAGAGGAGGGGAGGGAGGAACAAGTTGGAGAGGAAGAGGTGGAGAAGAGAATGGAAGGAGGGGAAGAAGAGTCATCATTGTCACCAGAACCTCTAGAAAGGTACCTTTTCAAACTCAACCCATCTTTTGACATTACTATGACTGTAAATTGCAACTTCTGTATACTGTACGCTTACCAAAATAACTACTGGCTAATTACTTAACACAATTAATAGTTGTTTTGATATTTGTTTGATGTTTGTTTGTTATTTAGCTCTGAGGAGTTAAGTGAAGTGGCCACCAGCAGTAAAAACTGTGTCACAGAGGAGGACCTGCTGAAAGATGAACTGAAAAAGAGCAGAGTGGAGGAGAGGAAAGAGGAGGAGGATGAAGAGGGAGGAGTACCTGAGGGGGCAGAGCCTCAGGCTGCCCAATCAAAGGCAGAGAAGATGAAGGAGGAAGAAAAGGTGGACGACGGACAGCCAGAAGAGTACATCATTGGTGAGGTTCATCATTTCACAGAAATGGAAACTGACAAAAGTTTGAAAACAAAGCAGGAAGCTAATTTGTGGCAACATTCCTAAAATAAAATATAGTATTGTCATATATTCTGTAAATGAAGTCTCTTGATATTATCCTGGGTTGGCAAGCAGGCTGAAAAACAGTCAGAAACCCTAACTACTACTGACTTCCTAGTTAGGGACATTAGACTTTCAGTCATTCACCACACAGATGACATTACTTAACCACACCATGCATGTTTGTAAGTCACAAACATGTCACAGCTGGCAAATTGGATTATGAAATGCTGGCATGAGACCATATGATCCGTTTAGTTACTAAGAGAGAACAGACACTAATCTATCTCCTGTATGCTCCCTATCCACTCTTCTGTCACCTCACTCCATTTCCCTTATCCCTCACTCCCTACCTCCCTCTCCTTTTCCCCATCGCTCTCCTCCATCCATCCATCCATCCATCCATCCATCCATCCATCCATCCATCCATCCATCCATCCATCCATCCATCCATCCCTCTCTCTCTCTCTCTCTCTCTCTCTCTCTCTCTCTCTCTCTCTCTCTCTCTCTCTCTCTCTCTCTCTCTCTCTCTCTCTCTCATCTCCAGACTCTACCCCTCCGCCAGCAGCCCCCTTTGACCACCGCATTGTGACTCCAAAGCCTCACCAGATTGCTACCTTCTACGCCATTAACAGAGAAGAGGTCCTAGGAGGGTGAGTCAGGAGGAGAGTGAGAGAGAGTGAGAGAGAGAGAGAGAGAGAGAGAGAGAGAGCGAGAGACAGTGAGAGAGAGTGTGAGAGAGAGACAGAGAGAGAGAATGGGAGAGACAAAGAGAGAGAGACAGAGAGAGAGAGAGAGAGAGAAGAGAGAGAGAGAGAGAGAGAGAGAGAGAGAGAGAGAGAGAGAGAGAGAGAGAGAGAGAGAGAGAGAGAGAGAGAGAGAGAGAGAGAGAGAGAGAACCATCCCTACAATGACAACCCAATTAAAGCCTGATATAGAAGAGTAAACATGACTATAATGTTATTGTTAGCTTAGCTCTATTGTACGTTGAGGCAAAAAGGACAGGGTGTTATAAAGCATCAATGTTATTAATCTCGGCCCCCAGAACCAAAGCAGCTCCTCATCTTTAATGTTAAGGCTGCCACAAGAGACTACACTGTTTATGAACTTGTTTCTCTGTATGTGATTGTGGGTTCATAGGGGACGTTTTGGACAAGTCCACAAATGTGTGGAGAACTCTTCTGGACTGACGCTGGCTGCCAAGATGATCAAAGCCAGGAGCCAGAAAGAAAAGGTAAGGACCTAAATAATCGAAACGTGAGACCTGAAACAGTACTTGATTATAGGCCTCCCAGGTATACATTTCTGACATTGATACTGTATCATATGCCATGTAGCATGGGTGCTTCCCATATGGCACCCTATTCCCTATCAAGTGCAACTTTTGACCAGGGCCCTGGTCAAAGGTAGTGCACTACATAGTGAATAGGGTATCATTTGGAACGAAGCCATTAATATCAGATGTACAGTATGCGTCCAATTAAGATGGATGGATATTTTATCATAGCACAAAAGTAATAGAATACGATTTTAAAGTAGATAATGTGTTTCTGTCCGTCTGTCTGTCCGTCCGTCTGTCTGTTTGTCTGTGTGTGTCTGTTTCTGTGTCTGTCTTTCTGTCCGTCTGTAATGTGTTTCTGTACGTCTGTCTGTCTGTGTGTGTGTGTCTGTCTTTCTGTCCGCCATTAATATCAGATGTACAGTATGTGTCCCATGTCCCCACCACCATTAAGATGGATGGATATTTTATCATTGCACATAAATAATAGAATACGATGTTATAGTAGATATAGCTTCATCGCCCTCATATCCATGGCACATGTGGCAGTATGTCAGAGTCAGTCTCATCTTCTGCTTTCCTATGGTCAGCTGAGTATAACATGGGAGATAAGATTGCCGACTAATGTAGTGCATAGCTGGTTGATTACGTTATCATGTCAGATATTCACAAAGTAGTTAGCCCACCAATGCCACGGCCAAAGCCAAAGCTGGCTCAGGTTGCTGTGTGATACTGTAGGTCTCAATTACGGATCCCGTTGACACTGTCTGTGTGTGTCTGTTTCGGTGTCTGTCTTTCTGTCTGTCTGTAATGTGTTTCTGTCCATCTGTCTGTCTGTCTGTTTCTGTGTCTGTCTTTCTGTCCGTCTGTAATGTGTTGCTGTCCGTCTGTCTTTCTGTTTGTCTGTGTGTGTCTGTTTCTGTGCTTGTCTTTCTGTCCGTCTGTAATGTTTCTGTCTGTCCGTCTGTCTGTCTGTATGTCTGTCTGTCTGTCTGTTTCTGTGTCTGTCTTTCTGTCCGTCTGTAATTGTTTCTGTCCGTCTGTCTGTCTGTGTGTGTCTGTTTCTGTGTCTGTCTTTCTGTCCGTCTGTAATGTTTCTTTCCGTCTGTCTGTCTATGAGTTGTAATGTGTTTCTGGCTGTCTTTCTAATGTTGAATATGTTGTTCTGTTTCCCAGGATGTGGTGAAGAATGAGATCCAGGTGATGAACCAGCTGAACCACGCTAACCTTATTCAGCTCTACGCCGCCTTTGAATCACGCCACGACATCATCCTCGTCATGGAATAGTGAGTCCCTCCCTGTGTGTGTGTATTTCTCCTCTCTGCACTATACCATACAGTATCTCTACTCTTTAAATCCCAGTGTGGGACTGTAATTCCTCTCTCTCTACTGTAGTCTATGATGACTGACTGTCTCTCCTCTCCTCTCTATGTAGTGTGGATGGCGGGGAGCTGTTCGACCGGATCATAGATGAGAACTACAAGCTGACAGAGCTGGACACAGTGCTGTTTATCAGGCAGATCTGTGAGGGACTACAGTACATGCACAGGATGTACATCCTACATCTAGACCTCAAGGTAGGACTCACCTTAGCTCCCTAGTTGCATATCCTCATCACTCTGTTACTCTGTTACTTTCTCCCTCGCTTCCCCCCTTCTCTCTCTTTCTCCCTCTCTCTCTCCCTCACTCTCTCACTGTCCTATAGTTTTTTGTCTGTTTCTATACAACCTTCCCCATTGCACTCTTTTAACACTTTACCTTTCTATAGCTGTCTCATCTCCATCTTCCTGTCATTATAGCATAATAGCTTAGCAATGATGCAAATAATTGCATGCTGTTATTTCCTTTGTCTCACTGTCTTGCGTTCTTCAATATCATTTCCTAGCCCGAGAATATTCTGTGTGTGAGCAGAGCTACAAACAAGATCAAAATTATTGACTTCGGGCTCGCCAGGAGGTAAGGTTCAATTACCAGTGGTTCCTGGCTTGATACAGGGCGGAAGGTAGCCTAGCGGTTAAGAGTGTTGGGCCAGTAACCGAAAGGTCGCTGGTTCAAATCTTCAAGCCAACTAGGTGAAACATATGCTGAGGTGCCCTTGTGCAAGGCACTTAACCCTAATTGCTCCTGTAAGTCGCTCTGGATCAGAGTCTCTGCTAAATGACTAAAATGTCATCTGTTAACTTTCTTCTCTCGTCCTTCTTGCTTTCTTAGGTATAAGCCCAGGGAAAAGCTGAGGGTGAACTTCGGAACGCCGGAGTTCCTGGCTCCGGAAGTCATCAACTATGAGTTTGTCTCATTCCCTACGGACATGTGGAGTCTGGGGGTCATCACATACATGCTGTGAGTCCTGATATCCACTAACCGTTACATTGCTGGGGGTCCTGATATCCACATTGCTGGGGGTCCTGATATCAACATTATTGGGGGTCCTGATATCCACTAACCGTTACATTTCTGAGGGTCCTGATATCCACTAACCGTTACATTACTGGGGGTCCTGATATCCACTAACCGTTACATTACTGGGGGTCCTGATATCCACTAACCATTACATTCTTGTGCTCACATATTGTACCTGTTTTTATAGTTTTTATTTAACCAGGAAAATGGCCTAGAGGTTAGAAATCTCTTTTGCGAAGGGGACCTCAGAAGAAGTCAGCAGGTAGTAGTCAGTGTGTACATACACAACCCAGGAACAAACTATACAATACATCCTTTTCTCCAGGCTGACAGGTCTGTCTCCATTCCTGGGGGACGATGACAATGAGACTCTGAACAACATCCTGGCCTGTCAGTGGAACTTTGAGGAGGAGGAGTTTACAGACATCTCTGAGGAGGCCAAAGACTTCATCACACGCCTGTTGGTCAAGAGCAAGAGGTGAGGGGTACCGTGTGTGTGTGTGTGTGTGTGTGTGTGTGTGCATGTGTGTGTGTTGACAACTGTGTTGTAGTTCTCTAAAGTTGTATTATTATTCAGTTGTGGACCTGTGTATCCCTGTGATAGTGTGTGTTCTAATCACGCATGTGTGTGTTTGTGTGTGTTCTCTAGTTGGAGGATGAGTGCCTCACAGTCACTGAAACATTCCTGGCTGTCGGATCGCAATCTTCACTATCGCCTGCATCAGAGGGTAGAACAAACACACACACACACACACACACACACACATACACATACACACACACACACACACACACACACACACACAGAGACACAGAGACACAGACACAGACACACACACACACACACACACACACACACACACACACACAGACACAGACACAGACACAGACACACACACATACATACATACACATACAAGTATAGTTAAACATGTCCACACACACACATACACATACACACACACACACACACACACACACACACACACACACACACACACACACACACACATGGATGGATTAAACCCATTTTTATCCCAAAACACCAATATTGTGAATATACTGTACCTTTTTCTTACAGAAAAATAAGTGCCACTCAACACACCCTTACCCTCCCCGAAGATCTAGACAAGTAAGCCCTGAAAACTACCCAGCTCACCATATCACAAACCTTCATCTTCAACTACTGTATACCGTACATCTACACTGAACAAAAATATAAATGCATCATGTAAAGTGTTGGTCCCATGTTTCATGAGTTGAAATAATAAATCCCAGAAATTGTCCATATGCACAAAAAGCGTATTTCGCTCTGATTTTTTTGCACAAATGTGTCTACATCCCTGTTAGTGAGCATTTCTCATCTTCCAAGATAAGCCATCCACCTGATATGTGTGGCATATCAAGAAGCTGATTAAACAGCATGTTCATTACACAGGTGCACTTTGTGCTGGGGACAATAAAAGGCGACTTTAAAATGTGCAGTTTTGTCACACACACAATGCCACAGATGTCTCAAGTTTTGAGGGAGCATGCAATTGTCATGCTGACTGCAGGAATGTCCACCAGAGCTGTTGCCAGAGAATGTAAGGTTCATTTCTCTACCATAAGTTAAATGTATGCACGCATGACTGTAAGTCGCTTTGGATAAAAGCGTCTGCCAAATGGCATATTATTATTATATTATTATTATAAGTTGCCACCAACGTCATTTTAGAAAATTTGGCAGTATGTCCAACCGGCCTCACAACCGCAGACCATGTGTAACCACGCCAGCCCAGGACCTCCACATCCGGCTTCTTCACCTGCAGGATCGTCTGGGCCTCGCTCCCCAGTGGGTGGCCCACCTATGGCTGCACTCCTGCCCAGTCATGTGCAATCCATAGATTAGGGCCTAATGAATTTATTTAAATTGACTGATTTCCTTACATGAACTGCAACTCAGTAAAATCTTAGAAATTGTTGCATGTTGCGTTTATATTTCTGTTCAATATATATTCACAAGTATACTGTAGACGCCAAACAATGGGGTTTTATTGTCTCTCTTTTGTGTTGGTTTAGTCTCCCATCCAGAACGAGAGTCCCCTCCAAAATGACTCCCAAGACCCTGTGGGCGCCTTATGATGATACGGGGTCGGTGCCTTTTGATGACACTGGGGCCAGGGCCCAACACTGGACCAACACTGCCGTACCTCTATGGCTACTGGATTACTGCTCTCTACTCTGCCTCGCATCCTTTAGCTTAGCTCTGCAGCTTGTGTAACGCAGTTAACAACGTACCGTAAACACACTGGACAGCTAGCCTAAAATGTCGCCAATGGCGCTATCGATAGCTCCAACGGTTGGTACGTTGTCAAGGAGGGCGGTCACTATAAAATGCACTTTAATGTATCACTATCAAATACAAACAGAACCACTTTTTCAACAATCATATTTATTACATTTTCAGCTTACTGTGGATTTCAAATAACTTAACATAGGCCTAGTTTACCAAGTCTTATCATACCATTGCATTTTTATTTGTTTGTTGGGTTTTGATTTAAAATAAAGGTTTGGGTGCAATTTATTTTCCTGGTATTGTAAAGCTTTAGTTTCTACAGAGTTAGGAATTCATTTTCACACACCTTTCTCCTTGATTTGCCCCATCAAACTTTAAATAGATCACATTCATTAAAATAAATAAATCGTTATTAATCCAGGTAAGCATAAACTTGTCGATATTAGACATTATTCCTCATTAGACATTATTACCTCCTTCTGCTGCTCTTCCCGTTGCTACTGACGTTCATTTCTCCTGGAGCCGCTGCTGTGAATATACTGTAAAAGCGCCTCTTCTGTGCATGCATGCTGTTCGCTTGACCCCAACATTTTACCTTTCTTTGCTTTCGCCCTTTGGAGTAGCCCTCTCACCTTCCATGAAGGCATATTACTGATCAACAAAACACTACCTATATGATTTCATAATTCATGTTTATCGCTGAAGTTAGTAGCCTAAGTGCCAGACTGTTTGTGCTGTCATGCCAACTCCTTGTCACTCCTTGTCATGCCACATATTTGCACTACCCTTCCGACTGGGCAGACAATGAAATTACGTTGACCCAACATGGAATAGACGTTGAATTGACATCTGTGCCCAGTGGGTTGTGATTGGAGGGTAGCTGTGAGGGTTATTGAATTAGGGTCAAATCCTGATATCTGATTGCTGTGAGGCCAGACCATTTGGCTTGACAATTAGCAATGGAGTTGGCAAGAGCAACAACAGATCTGCGACCAGGCTATGGATTTAGTTCTTATGGTCATGAATTATCTTGGTTCCTAAATTGATTTTTACTTGAAATGCAAGGCTTAGCCTCCATAAGAAGGGTACATAATATTATATTTATCCAGGAGAGAAAAAACACATACAAAATTGTTTATTTACTTATTTGTGTTCTATTGACTGAATTTGAAGTGTTTGAGTAATTGTATTGTAGATCTAAATAAAAAAGGTTTGTCTGTGTAATAGACTCACTATTTTCAAACTGTGGATAGTGGGTTGATTATTACTTGGTCAGATATTGAGGGATTGATTTAATGATTGTTTTAATGATTGATTGTCAGATGTGCCCTACCTGGAATCAATTGTTCTCCTTATACCGTTGTGATTTTGTGTAATTTTTGTGTCATTATGAAACATAATTCTAGTTAGAAATGTATACAAATAAATATAGACAAAAATAAAAACAGAAATTACTTATGTGTTCCTGGTTTTACTCTACTACGCAATGCAAATAATATAGGAAGTGGGGATAGAATGATAATATTTTCCACAGAGATGATCAATTGTTGATATTTGATCATTATTTGGAGAAGGGCACATCATTTGGAGACTGTATCCAGATTATGTCTGATAATGGCCACTAGGGAGCAGTATCGGACAGGGACATTCAGTCAACCCTCACACTGATCACCAGCAGGCTAGAGCCTCATAATTCAAGCGGGCCAAAGCCCTAGTCCCTACCCTGCACTGATGCCCGTGTCTGATTTGTTTAAAGTCTATATCATGTTGCTTGGATAGTCCCTGGTAAACATATTTCTGGTATTTTATATTAAGTCCTTTGGAATACAAGATATTGACTACAGTAAGAGTTGTTACCTAAATATGGAGAGAACAAATGGACCCTATACATATTCTCTGGAAAGTGGGATAGAACAAAATCATTTTAACACTACTTCTTCAATGCCTGTTTATATTCAACCTTTTCTTTTTTTCTCACCCCAATCATTGTGCTCCTTGAGCACTGCCTCCAGGTATTAATCTAAAAACTAGGCCCTGAGTGCAGCAGCGGCGGGATATGTCGCGTCACGCAGAGCAAGATCAAAGTGGCAGGTTCTAGACATAATTAGGCCCTCCAACTGAGAAGCCAGTATATTCACTTCACTACGCTCACCTGAACAAATAAACCCTGAAGGGATGGAGGGATGGGGGCGTTTTGACCATATCGAGAGGGGGGGGGGGGGGGGGGGGGGTGCGTAGCCAAGGAGGAATGTTTTTCAGAATGTGTGAAGTCTTCATGAGTTCTCAAACTTGGACCCCACACACACTGCTCAATCTCAATACAATAAGTCTACAACATAGAAAGGGGGGGGGGGGGGGGGGGGGGGGACTGGTTGGAGGATGAATCTGACCTATTTCTACTGACATCCAGAACTCAATCAGTTTTTTATTTTTATTTTACCTTTATTTAACTAGGCAAGTCAGTTAAGAACAAATTCTTATTTACAATGACGGCCTACACCGGCCAAACCCAGACGACGCTGGGCCAATTGTGTGCCGTCCTATGGGACTCCCAATCACAGCCGGTTATGATACAGCCTGGAATCGAACCAGGGGGTCTGTAGTGACACCTCAAGCACTGAGATGCAGTGCCTTAAACCACTGTTTACCCTTTAAACATAAACAAATTCCCTCTAATTGATTTTAATGAAATCTATCTGATGTGTTTATTAACTGAGTGTCTGAACCGGGTTTCAGTAAGACAGACAGACAGACACATGCTTTCTATTCTATCAGTAATGGGATAAGTGGAGCATAGTCAATGCTATGAAAAAGTTCTCACCATTGAGAATAGGACAGAATTTATATAAAACAGACTGTGTGGGAGAGAGGTGGATTAATGTCATAGGAAGATCTCTCTCTCTCTATTACCTGCCATCATAAACTAATTCTGGTAAGCCTACAGTACACAGATGACATAACCCACAAAGGTCAGGTAGCTAAGTTTTTATGTAAATAAATCGCCACGTATCATTATACCAAGCAGTAAGCACACAAATGGATGTGGGTGTGTGTACACATACCGGATATATACGTGTGCTTTTTTGCGTGTGCATTTGTTGATTTGAATTGCAAATAAAAGTGGAACACTACCACATTCTAACTGCTAGGCTACCTGCCTAGACAGGTCTGATGCCGCGTTCACATGCTAGTCGGAACTAGGAAACTCTGAAATCTCTGACTTGTTAACTGGTTGTAGTTATACATGTGCCGCATTCAACCAATTAGCACATTGAACATTTCTGAGTTTCCTAGTTCCAACTAGCACGTGAACACGGCATGAGCCTTGGGCCTGTCAATCAACATGACCTCATCACCCCTTAGTCTGGATTAGTATAGGGGGGTGGCTATGGTGTGTGTGGTGGGGGATTCCACTCTCCTGTCAGTGCTTTGTGTTGAGTAATGATTGTAACCTGCCACGTCACCTTCACTGTGAAGGCTTAGTCACCTGTCAGATGATCATCTCGCATGCCAGACTTTACAAAAAAGTTTGTAGGAGGTTTGTAGTATATGCAATAATCGAGACACACACATCTGGCTCACTGACATTACAAGTCAGCACACCTTGGCTAAATCCAGCCTGATCTACCAGGGATCTACACACACTCACTGCTTCAGGGTGAGAAGAGGACTCTGGAGAACCAAATAAATCTCCACTCCTCTTGCAGTGTCTAGAGGACAAAAGGATCACCACTCCTTTCTTTTGTCCTCCTTCCTTCTGTTTCTTCCTCCCTCCTTCTTTCTCACTGCCTCTCACCTGGTGTGCATTACCTTCAGTGAGGTCAATCAGGTAGGAGTCAGTCCTCTCAGCCAGGTAGGAGTCAGTCCTCTCAGCCAGGTAGGAGTCAGTCCTCTCAGCCAGGTAGGAGTCAGTCCTGTCAGCCAGGTAGGAGTCAGTCCTCTCAGCCAAGTAGAAGTCAGTCCTCTCAGCCAGGTAGGAGTCAGTCCTCTCAGCCAAGTAGGTGACAGTCCTCTCAGCCAGGTAGGAGTCAGTCCTCTCAGCCAGGTAGGAGTCAGTCCTGTCAGCCAGGTAGGAGTCAGTCCTCTCAGCCAGGTAGGAGTCAGTCCTCTCAGCCAGGTAGGAGTCAGTCCTGTCAGCCAGGTAGGAGTCAGTCCTGTCAGCCAGGTAGGAGTCAGTCCTCTCAGCCAGGTAGGAGTCAGTCCTCTCAGCCAGGTAGGAGTCAGTCCTCTCAGCCAGGTAGGAGTCAGTCCTGTCAGCCAGGTAGGAGTCAGTCCTCTCAGCCAGGTAGGAGTCAGTCCTCTCAGCCAGGTAGGAGTCAGTCCTCTCAGCCAGGTAGGAGTCAGTCCTGTCAGCCAGGTAGGAGTCAGTCCTCTCAGCCAGGTAGGAGTCAGTCCTGTCAGCCAGGTAGGAGTCAGTCCTGTCAGCCAGGTAGGAGTCAGTCCTCTCAGCCAGGTAGGAGTCAGTCCTGTCAGAGGAAGACAGATAGAATGACAGAGGGAGAGAAAGGGATGGAATGACAGCGAGACAACGTTCAACAGACGATGAGTGAGGGGCAATATCTATCTTTTATAAATAGGTCTTATTGACACCCTCTCCTCAAATCAAAGTGTATTGGTCACGTGCACAGAATACAGAGTATAAACGGTACAGTGAAATGCTCTCCTCAACAATGCAAAAAACAAAAAAACAAAGAAGTAATAAAAAGTAGTACAAAATAAGAAAATAGTAATGTTTGTATATTAAGTATAGACTATAAAATGTACAAAAGTGAGTAGTGACATAGTCGAGCAGCTTAAATAGTAGCAGCAACGGTGACACTGTGTGTGTGTGTGTGAGGTGTGAGAGAATGAGTGTGTGTGTGTGTGTGTGTGTGTGTGTGTGTGTGTGTGTGTGTGTGTGTGTGTGTGTGTGTGTGTGTGTGTGTAAGGGTGGCTGGGTGAGAGTCAGTGCAAATAGTCTCTTCTCTTAAGGTGCAGGTGTGAAGAGAGTCTGTAAAAAGTCAACAGCCTCTTAAGGTGCTGGTGAATACAGGGCTGTGCAGGCAGACAGCTTGGGGTTAGCTGTTCAGCAGTCTTATGGCCTGGAGGTAGAAGCTGTCTCGGAACCTGTTGGTCCGAGACCTGATGCTCCGGTACCGCCTGCCAGAAGGTAACGGAGAGAGCAGTCCATGGCTGGGGTGGCTGGAGTCCTTGGCAATCTTCCGGGCCTTCCTCAGATACCGCCCGGTGTAGATGTTCTGCAGTGCTGGGAGCTTGCCCCTAGTGATGGACTGGGCAGTCTTCACCACCCTCTGTAGAGCCTTGCGGTTCAGGGCAGTGCAGTTGCCGTACCAGGCGGTGATGCAGCCAGACAGAATGCTCTCAATGGTGCACCTGTAAAAGTTCCTGAGGATCTGAGGGGCCATGCCAAACCTCTTCAGCCGCCTGAGGTAGAAGAGGCGCTGTTGCGCCTTTTTCATGACTGTGCCTGTGTGGTTGGTCCATGTCAGATCCTCTGTGATGTGTACACCGAGGAACTTGAAGCTCTCAACCCTCTTCACCGAGGAACTTGAAGCTCTCGACCCTGTCAATGCCCCCCCCCCCCCCCCCCCCAGGCCTACCACTGTTGTGTCATCTTCATTACTCTTTCTGATTGGAGATTGGCAGCCTCTGGTCAGTGTTTGAAATGGGCTGGCACCTTTAATTCTGTACTGTTTTAGTACCAACACCTCTTTTAGAATATTGGCTTTAAAATGATTTAAAGACTGATACATTAAAATTCTAATGAATAAGACCTTTTTCATTCGAATCCATGCACTATCTTTGGTGTCAATACATCCCTGTGACAGAGAGACAGAAATGTGT